TATCTTTATCCCATCAATCCCGCTGCCTTACCCCTTTCATTTTACCTACGCCCTCCCGAACTTCCCCCACCCCAACTGGGTCTTCCCCCCTCCTACAAGAGTTATTCCTCCTTGCCCCCATACACGAAATCACAGCTTCCCTATCTTCATCAACATTTAACAATTCCTCAAAAAATTCCCTCCATCTTCCCAAAACCTCTACTCTCCATTTAATAACTCTCCTCTCCTATTTTTAAAATGACAAATCCATTTTTTCTCTAGGGTTTCTTAACTTTTAATCCACTCCAAAATTTTTTTTATTTTTAAAAAAATTTTTTGATAACATTCACCCCCTCTCTATTTGCTTTTTTACATTGCTTCACCCCTCTCTTAACCCCTCCTTTTTCTCCAAAACTCTTCCCTCCTTGCATCACTTTTACTTTTTAAAAACTTCTCAATGCTAATTTTTTTTCCCCTTTTAAATTCTTTACATATCATTTCCCCCCAACACTCCTCTTCCCCCCTGCACCCACTTTTCCCCAACCACAAACTTCTGCTGAACACTCAACACTACATTTTTAAACCACCCCCTACCTCTTCGACCCCATTGCCTATGCCTCATTAGCCCATCTATCCTCCAAAAGCTTTTATATCTTACCCTAACTGCCCCCCTCTTTTAGTTTTTTAAAAACCCTTACCTCTCTTTTTTCCCTGATGCTTTTATTCTCCTTTTACCCACTACCTTTTACTCTCAGTGTAGCTACAAATAGAAAGTGTTGAATATCTGTGGCCCCCCTTAAACATTACACCTGAATTATCAACAGTCTTTTATCTACCCAAACAAATCCAACAAAAACTGTATTTGCCTACATCATTTCGTGTTAAAATTTTTTATCCTTTTTCTTAAAATAAGTTTACCTATAACTAAACCCCTTTTTTTACAAAATTCAATCAAAGGTTCCCTTACATTTACACCGGCCCCCCAAATTACCTACCACACCTCTCTAAAGTTTTTTCCTACTTTAATTCAGGCCCCCCACCCCAATTACTCTCTCACTTGGTTCAAAGGCTCCTATACTTCACTTAAAAATCTCCCAAAAATTTCTCTCTCCTCTGCATTCCTCTTTCTCCCTGCAACACGCTTTTTATGCCCCACTTTTGATCCAACCTTTACTTTAATCCACAAAATTCTTTTAATTTACACATTCAATTTTCTTTTCTCCTTCCATAACTGATCATTTAACATTTTGCACCCCCTTTCCTTTTCTCTAACTCTCTCAATACTCCAGATTTTAAACCCATTTTTTTCCCCCCCTGAAACTCTCCTACCCCCCCAGCTTTGTTTCGCTTAGAGCCCGGCATCCAACTTTTTTCATTTATAAAACCCCAAAACATCTGTTTCTTGTCATCCCACTACTCCACCACATTTAAGCATCCCAGTTTTTAAAGTTTTTCTTCTTCTCTTTTTTTAAAATGTATACAGGAGGGAAGGGGGGTTACTAGCCATTGCTCCCGGCATTTTAGTCGCCTCATACACACATGCTTACGGGGGAAAGATTCTTTTCCACTTCCCCCCGGACAATAAAGAAATAAAAAAAAAAAGAGCTATTTAGAAAAAGGGGAAAAACCTAGATTAGTATAATATTTGCATGTGCGTGTCTGTAATTTTGGCCAAAGTGTAAGTAGGAGTAGCAAGATATCCCCGTTTTCTAGCGTGTTTATGAGACAGAAAAAGAAACCGCAATCCTACCATTATGCAAAACGTTACAGGTTTTGTTTCACAGTCATCTGGCGGGGGGTAGTCTTCCCGGGGGGTTGCTGTCTACCAACCTACTACCTATATATATATATAAAGTTCCTTGAAATGGATAGTCACGGAAACGCATGGGAAATTTCTCTATCTTTTAGAAATGGTTGTTTTTCATATTCTGAATCACCCCGTTTACGTGATCTTATTGCATTTTTAAAAAATATAAATATATTATATATATATATATATATATAATATAATATATATATATAATATAATATATATATATATATATATATATATAATATATATATATATATAATTATATATTTTTTTTTTAATATAAATAAAAAAAAAAAAATAAAAAAAATATATATATATTAAAAATATATAATAAATAAAATTTTTTTAAATATAATAAAATATTATAATAATTAAATATTTTTTTTTTTTTTTAAAGGGCGGCCGTCTCCCCCGGCAGGGGGACCCAAAAAAAAAAAAGAAAATCCCCAAAAAAAATCTTTCATATCATTCAACACCACAATTCCACATTATCATGTTTTTCAATGCTCAGAATACCGTTTGGAAACAATCTTAAAGTCAAACATATCCCCAAATCCAAATCTCAAACCCCTCCTTTAAAATAGGATTTTAATTCCATTTTTCCCAAAAAGTGACATTAAAAAAACATCCCCTGGCGTTTTGAATTTTCCGCGTGAAGTCTTTTAGACTCCTAAAACTTTCGTTTGGCAAAAAAAGCCAGCAACCTCCATTGTAAAAAATTAGGCTTTTTTTTTTACCCGTTTTGGGAGGACGGGAGTAAACCCCCCCCGGGCGGTTGCTGTTCCCAAACCTTCTTCCTGGGAATTTTCCAGACACATATAAACAAATAACCCAAAAAATTCTAAGACTTAGGGAAAACATCAAAAAATAAACTTTTCCACGATACCCACAAATCGTAATGCACATTAAAACAAACCATACACGGGGCCATTTTGAATCCGCGGCAAAATCCAAAACTCCCCAAACCTCGGACCCCTGGACCCATTTTGGGGTCAATGTCCTATCACCCCATGGTTAAAATATACAGGGAAAAATTATTTCATTCCAGTCAAGGCGGTCTGGGTTTTAGAACCTCTCCCCTTAAATCCCCCCCGGTACTATTTCCACAATTCCCCCTTCCTAAAAAATTACTCATCCCCCACTCACATATAATTTTTTCATTACCAAAATAAATCCTAAAACCCTAATCCCACAAAAGGAGCATCAGAAAAGAAAACTATCCTGAACATTCCCCCAAAAAAGCAAATTTTTTCACCAAATAAAAAATTTTAATTTTTCTGTTTATAAAAAATTTTAAGAACAATAAACTAAAACCCCCATTAAATTTTCCCCAAATTTAAAGGACCAAATAACCAGCCCATATCCTTTTATGACCCCCATGCCAAACCATGTTAAAAAACTTAGCACAAAAAAAAATTTGGGGAAAATTACCCCAAAATAAAAATGTGGTTAAAAATCATTTAAGACCCCAAAAGCCACTTTTCCCCGGAATAAAACTAATTTTAAAAACCAAAAATCCCATTTCCAAAATTTTTAAACCCCTACGAAATTTTGCCAAAGGCCCCAAATTCCAAAGGCCCTCCCCGTTTTGCCGCCCCCTTTAACAAACCATACCAAAATTGAAAATATCCTAATCATGTTTTTGTTTTTGAAAAAGACCTTTTTTTTAAAATTAGGCACTTGTTTTAAAAATTTTTAAATAGATAAATTTTTAGGATAAGTGTCCCCAAAACCCTTTAAAATTTGTGCCCTAATCCAAAATAAAAGGGTCTTTTGACGAAAAACCCCATATTTAAAAATAAATTCAAGTCTACTACAAAAAAATAAAAGATTTTGAATCCCTAAGCAGTACAAATTTTAAATTGTTTGGTACCAAAACCCTTTAACTGGCCCCCGCATAAAAAGGGGAATGAAGGTTTCCGCTAAGATTCTTTTTACGCAAAATTTTTCCCCCCCCCCAACCATTAAAAAAGCATCACCATTTTCTAAGGGAATGTCCCCCAAAAGTGCCGGCCTCCATTGTTTAAAAACCTCCGGGTAAAAAATACATACCTCGGGAATAATTTATTTTTCCATTTTTCTGGGTTTTCGGAAAAATATGCCATGGCCCCAAGAAACTTTACCCCCTGTTAAAAAGGGTGGAATTAGTTAAATTTGGAAATTTTGAAGGGGGTTTGGGCTAACCCCGGAGAAGCCCCCCATTTGGGAATCCATTTGCCCCCTTCAAGTTAAGAATGTGTCGGGGTTTGTGAAACCTTTTTGGAAACACCCCAACAGGTTTTAAACCGTCGGACTTTTAATGAAATTTAGGGCCCCTTTTTGGGGAAATCTTTAAAGAAAGGGAGGTTTTGAGTTTTGGGCAATTTTTTGTCCACAGATCCATGATTGAAGCGTTAGGGCATTAAAAAAAAGGGAAGTAACCCCAGAAAAGGACTTGCTACCTCAAGTCCTAATGGAAGGGGATTCCCCTTCTAAACAGTAAGAAGATAATGCTCTCCCCTCCTCCCATCCCATCAATCATCACCAGATCTTCAATAAAAGTAAGTGTCATGTAATTGTGCATGCCTTTTTCAGTTTGTGTGTATTAAAATTAACATTTCATGTGGTAAAAAAAAATTTTTTTCATACTTTTGGGCGTCTTGCACGGATTAATTTTATTTCCATTATTTCTTATGGGGAAAATTAATTCGCATAACGATTATTTCGCATAACGATGAGCCCTCTTGCACGGATTAAAATCGTTAACCGGGGGTCCACTGTATATGTGTGGAATAATCATAGGTCTCTCAAATTTCTGGGATCTTCCATTTTAGGCAGTCAGATAACTTTGGGCATTTAATGTACCCTGGTCCCTCCCAAAAGAATTCTAGCCCACACATTGCATGATGAGAGCCATAAATCCAGTACTGCATTAGGCACCATGGTGAGAAGTCACAGAGTTGCTCCTGGGTGGGTCTGATGTGAAATCTTTCTTTGCCTGGTGCCTGCACACAGAACAACAACAGAGTTTAGTGAGCAGTGGCAAGCAAAGTTGTATTAGGCTGAAATGAGCTTTTGAACATTACTAAAGGTAAAAGTAGCAGGTATTGGTAGGGAATAGGTGTCATATATTCCATTTAGTCCATCCAGGATATCATAGCAGAAAAAATGTATTGAAGCTAAGTTGAGCAGGGCTATATAATAACTAAAAATTTTGGATTCCTATCAGAATGCCTCATGACATGACCCAGACGATGACAGCACGTTTAGCCCAACAAGCAGAGAGAGCTTCCAAGGAAAAGAAAAAGCCACAGAGACAGTCTATTGACAACGAGGACTTCAGGGGTGCATCTGAGGATATCTTTGATCAGAATGCAAATGAGGCAGAGGAGCCAGATTATAGGTGAGTCTTCACTTCTGTTTTCGTTAGAGCAGTCTTCAACACTTGTTAATATATAAGAAAGGAACATTTTGTGATTATGTAAAATAACAAAAAAAAGGCACAATACCGTGACTGGAACGATACACAAGTCAGATTCCAAGTCGGACCGAAACGTCGTCGTAAGCTCCTCTCTTCTATGTGGGTTATTTGTGTATTATGTAAAATATTATGACAATCTACTTTGAAAAAATATGCCACTTTTCTCAAACAGGCTCACAGCCTAAATATTTGGAGATTCATCATATGTACAGTAGGGCCCCACTTATACTACAGGTTAGGTTTTAGGCTGCCGCCGTTAAGTGGACGTTGCTGGAAAGCAGAACGCCATTTTTTCCACTTTTAAATACATATAAATGCCAGATAACAAGTTTACACTAACATACCTTAAGTTAGCAATTGAACTTGGCATTAAAAACAATAAAAAGTAAAATACACATACAGTATGCTTATTACTGACCTTTAAATATTTGTAGTCTTAATGTAGGGTGAGAGATGAGTAGTACAGGTCCACCATTACAAATCCGGCAATCAGTTATTCGGTTGCTTCAGTTATTCGGCACTTATTATGGCTAGCATAATTTCAAATTTCCAGGGTCGCCACACCAACCTGCTGGTACTGTTTGGTGGCGCTACTTGCTGCATAAGTCATTTTAATTTCTTTTTCTCCATTTATTGTTTTAACCTGCTTACTTTTAGCCCTAGCCATGGTTCCAATGAATAAAAGAAATGCTTCTCATTATGTAAAGCACCAACACAGTACATTATCCATTAAAGATAAGGTGGCTTTGAAGCCACTGTCAGTTGCCATGAACTCAGTCTCATGAAGCAGGAGCATATGCTTTATTATTACGCTAATATCAACGTTACAGCTTATTGTCTATCACAATTGATCTAATATAACATAATAAACAATATAAATAACATAAAACATGTTAAATAATCCAGAATGAATAAATAATATTTGGCATAACACCGAGCAGTTCGACGGAGGTATGAAGAGGATATGGGATAAAATACCATTCTCCTATCCATCTTGGAGGCTTATATTAGAGAAAACGGAGTATAGCACAGGGCTACCTGTGATATACACTCGTACTGCGCCATAAAACTGAAACAAAAAAGCTATTTTCTCTTCATAGATTATCACACATAGCAGCACGTGTGTAGATAACCTAGGATAACCCAAAAAGTCAAAGTGGCTTATCTCTAGTACCTGGCTTGGGTTAGCCATATATGATTTTTGGTAAATATTCGATTCCCAGCCAGGGTAGAAACATTGGGTGTGTTTCTTTACAGATGTTGTCTATGTTCACCAATCAGTAAATGGGTACCTGGGTGTTAGTTGAATGGTGTAGGTGTTATCCTGGGACACTGACCAAATTTGCTTAATATACTCAGCATAACAAGAGGCTTTCTATATAGTAGTATGGCACTGATGTCAGCTAGGCCTGTATACCTTGTATATGTATGTATAGTTAATAAAGATATTATTATTATTATTATTATTATTATTATTATTATTATTATTATTATTATTATTATTTTATTTATTTATTTTTTTTTTCAACAAGTCGGCCGTCTCCCACCGAGGCAGGGTGACCCAAAAAAGAAAGAAAATCCCCAAAAAGAAAATACTTTCATCATCATTCAACACTTTCACCACACTCACACATTATTACTGTTTTTGCAGAGGTGCTCAGAATACAACAGTTTAGAAGCATATACGTATAAAGATACACAACATATCCCTCCAAACTGCCAATATCCCAAACCCCTCCTTTAAAGTGCAGGCATTGTACTTCCCATTTCCAGGACTCAAGTCCAACTATATGAAAATAACCGGTTTCCCTGAATCCCTTCACTAAATATTACCCTGCTCACGCTCCAACAGATCGTCAGGTCCCAAGTATCATTCGTCTCCATTCACTCCTATCTAACACACTCACGCAGGCTGGAAGTCCAAGCCCCATGCCCACAAAACCTCCTTTACCCCGTCTCTCCAACCCTCCTTCCTTCCCCTGTAGATTTATATGCTTTTCATGTCATTCTACTTTGATCCATTCTCTCTAAATGACCAAACCACCTCAACAACCCCTCTTCTGTCCTCTTGAATAATGCTTTTATTAACTCCACACCTTCTCCTAATTTCCACACTCTGAATTTTCTGCATAATATTTACACCACACATTGCCCTTAGACAGGACATCTCCACTGCCTCCAACCGTCTCCTCGCTGCTGCATTTACCACCCAAGCTTCACATCCATATAAGAGTGTTGGTACTACTATACTTTCATACATTCCCTTCTTTGCCTCCATAGATAACGTTTTTTGACTCCACATGTACCTCAACGCACCACTCACCTTTTTTCCCTCATCAATTCTATGATTAACCTCATCCTTCATAAATCCATCCACCGACACGTCAACTCCCAAGTATCTGAAAACATTCACTTCTTCCATACTCCTCCTCCCCAATTTGATATCCAATTTTTCTTTATCTAAATCATTTGATACCCTCATCACCTTACTCTTTTCTATGTTCACTTTCAACTTTCTACCTTTACACACATTCCCAAACTCATCCACTAACCTTTGCAATTTTTCTTTAGAATCTCCCATAAGCACAGTATCATCAGCAAAAAGTAACTGTGTCAATTCCCATTTTGAATTTGATTCCCCATAATTTAATCCAACCCCTCTCCCGAACACCCTAGCATTTACTTCTTTTACAACCCCGTCTATAAATATATTAAACAACCATGTTGACATTACACATCCCTGTCTAAGACCTACTTTTACTGGGAAGTATTCTCCCTCTCTTCTACACACCCTAACCTGAGCCTCACTATCCTCATAAAAACTCTTTACAGCATTTAGTAACTTACCACCTATTCCATATACTTGCAACATCTGCCACATTGCTCCTCTATCCACTCTATCATATGCCTTTTCTAAATCCATAAATGCAATAAAAACTTCCCTACCTTTATCTAAATACTTTTCACATATATGCTTCAATGTAAACACTTGATCTACACATCCCCTACCCACTCTGAAGCCTCCCTGCTCATCCGCAATCCTACATTCTGTCTTACCTCTAATTCTTTCAATTATAACCCTACCATACACTTTTCCTGGTATACTCAGTAAACTTATTCCTCTATAATTTTTACAATCTCTTTTGTCCCCTTTCCCTTCATATAAAGGGATTATACATGCTCTCTGCCAATCCCTAGGTACCTTCCCCTCTTTCATACATTTATTAAACAAAAGTACCAACCACTCCAACACTATATCCCCCCCTGCTTTTAACATTTCTGTCCTGATCCCATCAGTTCCAGCTGCTTTACCCCCTTTCATTCTACGTAATGCCTCACGTACCTCCACCACACTTACATTCTGCTCTTCTTCACTCCTAAAAGATGGTATACCTCCCTGGCCAGTGCATGAAATTACCGTCTCCCTTTCTTCCTCAACATTTAAAAGTTCCTCAAAATATTCTCACCATCTACCTAATACCTCCCTCTCCCCATCTACTAACTCCCCGACTCTGTTTTTAACTGACAAATCCATACTTTCCCTAGGCTTTCTTAACTTGTTTAACTCCAAAATTTTTTCTTATTTTCATTAAAATTTCTTGACAGTGCCTCTCCCACTCTATCATTATTATCTATTATTATTATTATTACTATTATTATTTTCTCAGTTGTTTGTTGGGTTATCTTATTCAAACTTGGGCAATGTATGATGGAAAGATACTTCTTAACGTACACCAAAAAATGAAAGAAATCAGACCATAAATAGCGGAGTTCACTTCTCAGCCATTAGCGGCCGCTTTGCGTTATATTATTGTATGTTTTTTATGGTTATATTTTCGTTTTTTCGGTCTCATTTGATAGAATGGAAGATATATTACAGAAATAGATATGATTTTGATTGCTTTCGTGACGAAAAGGACCTTGGAATTGCGCTCACAGTAGCAGAAATATTCTATTTTTTAGCGATGCTCAAGAGTAAACATATGATGTCACTGTCCAATACCTGTCCGCCTGCCAGTCCAAATTCCAATACGGAGTCAAGACTGGGTTGACATTATTTAATTATGGGCTGACATTATTTATATGGGTTGGCATTATTTATTTATTATTTGCTGATGGGTGAAGATAGACAGCAGGTGTAAACACACCCAATGTTTCTACCCTGGCTGGGAATCGAATATTTACCAAAAATCATATATGGCTAACCCAAGCCAGGTACTAGAAATAAGCCACTTTGTCTAACTTTTTTGGATTATCCTAGGTTCTCTACACATATGCTGCTATGTGTGGTAATCTGTATAGAGAAAGTAACTTTTTTGTTTCAGTTTTATGGTGCAGTACGAGTGTATATCACAGCCCTGTGCTACACTCCGTTATCTCTAATATAAGCCCCCAAGACAGGGAAACCGGCAGGCCGGACTTGAGTCCTGGAGATGGGAAGTACAGTGCCTGCACTCTGAAGGAGGGGTGTTAATGTTGCAGTTTAAAAACTGTAGTGTAAAGCACCCTTCTGGCAAGACAGTGATGGAGTGAATGATGGTGAAAGTTTTTCTTTTTCGGGCCACCCTGCCTTGGTGGGAATCGGCCAGTGTGATAATAAAAATAATAAAATAAAGACAGGGATAGGAGAATGGTGCTTGTATCCCATGTCCTCTTCATATAAATATTGTTATGCAGTTGTATGCATAACAGTAAAGCTATTTTTTTTTTTTTGTGCGTGAATAAAAATTTCAAATGGTAAGCAAGAGTAAATTGCCAATTTCTGACCACTTTATTGGGTAGTTGAAATAGGTGAATGGGCGGTTTCTTGTACTCAGTCGACAGACTAGAAGTAAGTAAATAAGTAAGTTTATTCAGGTATACGCAAATACAGTTACATAGATTATCATACATAGCAGCGTATGTATAGAGAACCTAGGATA